ACTACTCCAACAGCTAAGTCAAGCCAGACAGGAAAAGTGAGTTGAGACCCTGGAAAAAATGGATTTGATACATAGTAGCCAAATTGTATGGAACCTTGTAAAAAAACTTAGCGGTGATCCAAAAAAACATAAACCACTAGACTTTGCTATTTCTTGCGTTATTGGTCCATTGGTGTTAATACTAAGTTAGTTATTATTAGTTAAAACACACATACTAAGGTTATTATTAGTTCAAAATGTTTAGGTCAAATAGTTTAAAATATTTACATAATATTTTATTCCTATTTTTCAATGCCTTTGACAAAAACTTGTTCTAATGCTATATTTTTTATTGAAGACACAAACACAACTTTAATTCAAAAATAATTGTGCAGAAATTATAATTTATATCATACTACAGCCTCGATATATTCACATAATTCTCGACTTACACAAATGTACATATTCTATAAAATTGGATCCATTAACGAAGTGCGTGAGCTAAAACCAGCAACACGTTTTACCAAGCAAACAAAAAAAAATAATTCTCTCAAGCATCAGCTATTTTCTTTCCATGTTAGAACGACTTTGATTAATAGTATCTATTACCTACACGTATACTGCACAATCTGTAATTGTGCAAAAAGGGTCATGCTCCATGTGTAAGCCGCTGTAGGGTACTTCTTTGGTAGTGATGTTTAAAGTACAATTACCTTTGACGCAATAATCCATTGGCGTAGAACAAATATACATTGATTTTGCGACATTCTATCTACAGTTAAACATGTCAAATAGATAAAATAGATTAAAGGAATATACAAAGTATCTTTGACGATTCAGAATGTGAAGGAGTCACTTACGCAACAAGCCAGTATTGAAAAAGCACCTTATACATTTAGGATCCTTATAAATTTTATTATATATCATTCAAGAATTCCAATTTCATGATTTATCCCTTACTTTTCCTTAAATCTGCCTATCCCTTTTTCTGTTATACCCTTCTATGTATGTACCCATAAAGCGTTCCGACAAGCTGATGGAGTATTAACAAAATATTGGAATAAACACCTCTGATCTAAGAATTATTAGCAATCTTTCCTGAAATCAAAGATCGTGATCTGCACAGAAGCAGAAGAATTCGATAATATCAAAATCAAACGTGGAATCCGACAGGGATGTTATACTATCCACCCTTGCTGTATAACATATACTCTGAGGAAATCTTTCAACAAGCAGTAGAGGATGTTAAACCGGAGTTCGAATTAACAGAGAATGTATTAATAACTTCAGAAACGCGGATGACACCGTGGTATTCGCTGACAGTTATGAAGCCCTCCAGGTGTTAATGAAAAGAATGGCAATGAAATCAAAAATGTGGCTTTCACTGAACATTCAGAAAACAAAATGTATGATGATCTCTAAGAAGGAACAGCAAATTAAATGAATCAGTGTGAATGGTCAACCAATAGAAAGAGTAAAAACATACACCT